ATAAGAATGGTGTACTTGCATGGATTAGTAAAGGTCAAACATATAAATAGGTTAGCATTGTTTTCAGTCACTTAATTATCACATAGTATATTTGACGTTTTCATTTGATCGGCGTCAACATTTATAGCCTTAAGGAGCTCGATCATTTGGGTTTTGACAGCGAGTGGTGGGGTGTATGAATTTCTTACTTTATTATTTATATAATGCATGGCATTTTTTCATCTTTTGGGCATTTTTGGTTTTGGTTGGAATAATTGTTTCGTAGTCTTATTGTTCTATGTGTTTAATAATACCTAATAATATATTCCGGTGTTTTGTCAAAATCGCTTAGTATTGTAAGCAGTATAATTAACTTCAGTTCCTTTTACGTTCAACGAGAACTCAACCTCAAACTATCTTGTAAGTATTCGTTCAGTTTTTTGGTAGTTTGCCCTTTTTGGCATTATTCGTTTAGTGACTTTTTGTATACCAACTTTTAGGAACCTTATACATGTACGAACTATTTGATGTGTTATGTAATCCTAATAAGCGTCTAAACGTGTTCACTAAAAGACTAAAAGTATAGCTATTATATTTAAATATTTGGTGTCCCTTACAATTGATCGTTTTCAATCATTCCCATGAGATCAAAAGATAAAAGACCGGCGGCCATGTTGGAGGAATGAACAATAGATAATGAGAAATCTTTTGTTGAAGTTCATCCAAGATGGCCGCTGTGACGTATGGTGAAAACGAAGAATATTGCATTTTTGCTTTGTTCACGAAATTCATATTCGAAATCATCCACACCACCCCACCCCCCTTCAAAAGGAAAATGGTCAGACGGGCCTTGAAATACTAATCCCTTTGTCTCCCTAGTGCAAGTAAGTGTGAATCCGTATATCTTACGACGCTGTCTAACGTTAAGACGAGCAGCATGACACATTTGAAATTCTAGTTTTTCTGAATTAGTAACTGATTCGTCTAGAGCGAATTCAATAAATCCGTGAAACACAACTTGACTATAACGTCACAAAAAGGTTAGCCAATCACTGTAAAGAACGTGTTTTGCGCCAAAATTTTAGATGTTTGCACAGAGTGAAGTGATCAAACCCATGAAACAAGAACTGACTGTTTTGTGATACTAGTCAAATAGACACTAAAGAAAACAATGTAATTAGACCGTTCTAAGGTGTATTAGTGTAATATCTGTTTCACGGGTTTAATGACTTCACTCTAAGTCATTAAGTCTAGTTTGCTCAGAGCATAGAAATTACCTCTGACCATTTGTAATATAGTTGAAATAATATGAACYATGATTGGTCCAAGAGCGTGATTTATAGTCGCCGGTAAATGCAGGCTCTCGAGCACGCCTAACGTTCTATATCATAAAAGCAATAAAGGATGGATTTTTGCGAGTAGTATCAGTGAATTGKATAAAGCACGCGGGATGTTGTGAGAACACGAGAACACTACAAGAATTTCTTTCATCAATTATTTATTGAATTCATGCAAAATTAGTACAAATCACCTTAATGTCATAACAAATTGTCTGTACAACTACATCCAACTAGAAATTCTTAACCAAGATCTTAAAATCTTGCAATAATTTTCTTAGCAAAAGGATCCTTAGTAACATTAACGTTTACTGGTCGTGTAGCAATTTCCTTGGCAACGATTTCCTTAGCAACACGATCCTTAGTAACATTAACTGGTAACAATTTTTTTGGATCGTTATTGACGGTAACATTTATCGGTCACTTAATTTCCTTGGTAAAAACTTTCCTTTGGCAACAGTTTTCCTTAGCAACAGTTGCTATACAAGGTATGAAGTTCTAGTTTCTTCAAAGGCTCTGTCAATCGTAAAATGAAGTATCCATTGTTCCATTGTTGTCGGTGACGTACATCAATAGAATCACGTGATGTTCCAATGACAATAATGACGTCACTGTATCTCTATGGTAACATAAATTTGCTTATTTCAGTCGTGAAAATATGGCGTCATTGTGTTGCTGCTCAGGCCGGATAACTTTATCTTTAGAAACTGTTGTTTGGAAAGTCTTTGTTATACTTAATCCTTGATCAACCTTATCCTCATGATCATTCTGCCAATCATTCTATTAAATATTCCTTAATATCCTAATAACACTTGAAGCATTGACTGGTCGCCCTAGTCCTAACTCGACACACAGTCTCCACAGCAAGCCCAAAACGATTAACAAATCTTTCAGAATAAAACCATTGAACATGGTTTTTGCAAATTATATGTCATTTATTGTTTCAATGTCTTTAGTAAGATGCGAATAAATTAAGAATTCGCAAATGATTATTTCGCTTTGTTTTGAAAAAGCAAAAATAGATCAAAATGAATGGAATTCACAATGGRAGTGGTTTTCAAAAACAAGTTCAGGGACCAAAGTTTTTAATCAAAACTTTTTAACTGGTTACTAATATAATTTATTTATTTATTATTATTTTTAAATAAAAACTTTTCAAACTTCATCAAATCAACACAAAATGATAAAATTGAAACTTATTTCTTTGAAATACTTTTGTATTTTCATTACTGGTTGATGAGAACCACTCCCGACTAACTACGAACAACACAAACGTTTTGTTAACTCAGGACACGTAAAAAGCCCTAAATAACAGACACAACGTAACGTAACGTAACGTAACGTAAAGCGCTTCTCAACTACGCAAATCCCTCGAATGAACAGAAAATCGATCCTTGACCGGTCAATACGCCTGTAATCTTTATCAAAGAACAATTTAAGGGCATGCGSACGATACCCTTTCCTTCTTGTCKCCRCTGTCCTTTCATCTCTCATATGTTGGATGTTGACGTTGAGAAAGACACGAACTTTTTGACGCTTCCCCCCTGATGTACGCTGTGGTAGACGGCYTTGCCACTACGTACGTTGTACGCACCGAGTTCCATAGACGTAGGACGCATGTCGTCAAGCTGAAGAACATCMGGGGAATCCGAATTCACCGAGTGACGATATATCTCAATATCCGGGATACTACGCTTGTTGCGACACCGCTGACACATCATACAGTTGACGTAGGTCCTGCCTGACCGTCTGAGAATCAGGACGACGACTACAACGACGAGTAACAGTAACGCAATGACGGACGCGACCACAAGGATGATGAACTTTTCGCTGTATTCATAGGCTGTCACGCGCGTGACATGAGCAACGCTGCCGTTACGCCATTTGTACGTGACCACGGAGGGTGTTTCAAGGGAGGGACCAACAGTTGGTGGATCTGTTTTGTCTTTGCTGCTTATAGAAGAATGCACTATCACCCCAGTCTTGTCCGACGAGATCGAAGACTTGATCGTCGTCTTGGAACCATTCTTAACAGTGTGTTTCACAACCGAGGTCACGTGCGTCCTGTTGTCATGGGTGGATATCGTCGTGGTAACAGTCACGTGACCCCCATGTGGTCGTACAGTTGGACCAGCTGTGGTCGGTGTAGTCGGGGTCCCCGCAGGTGTTGGGTATCTACTTCCACCAGACTTCCACGCGGTCGGGACAAAAGGAGAGTGACTGGGTTCTGGTTGTGTAGGAGGTGGATTGACGGGTCTGCACGCTGATTGGACAATACTGGCTTGGTATGTTGATCGCTCRTGGGTGCCAAAACATTCCAGTGGGCCAAGGGTGAACATGGATTCCTTTGCTTCGTCAGAAAATTGAAGCATGGTGACTGGAAGAGCGCTCTTGTCAGTTAAGTATCCTGGAACAGTAAATAATGGGGTTAATAAACAGAACTTACACAATCGTATTGCAAACGGTAAAGCGCAAGACAAATACAGAGTGAATCATACGACGTTTCCCGAATATTTTAACTATGATGTTGTAGGTGCAGTGTTATTCGATGTCGTATGTTTTTTCAGTGGTAGTGCAAACACTAAAACAATGAAAACCTTTAGCAATTAAATATTTCACCACCCTTGTGTAAATTCTTGCGCGTTGATTGGCTGATAAGAGTGTGTCAATAAGAAGACGTGCACACTGTGCTGACACTATCACAGCTCACGCGCCCACTCAGTTGAAAGAAAAAAGAATGATTTTCGCTAATTTTTAGAAATTAAAATATGCTAAAAAACAAATTGCGCACGGTTTTGAGTTTTGTATGTCCTCTTATTGACAAACACTTGAAGTCATAAAATGTTCAAAACTTTGCACTTGAATTTTGAACATTTTATGACGTCAAGAGTGCATCAATAAAGGCTGATTTACACGGCACGATTGTCTCGTGCGATTTGTAGTATACGACTTGAATCGCGCAGTGTACAGTGGACTGTCTACAACAATCGTACGCAACCTACGATTTGTAGTAGGGTTTTGAACCACGGCTTAAAATCCTACGATTTGTAGTAGGAAAATCGTATACTACAAGTCGTACGCGACAATCGTACCGTGAAATCAGCCTTAAGAGGACTTACAACTCAAAACCGTGCGCAATTTGTCAAAGTTCTACATTGTACTCAATTCCTTTGTAGATTAATCTACATTATATTGCGCTATTTTCGCACGTTTCGTTGGTACGTTATCACGCTTTTAATATTTGCACTCTGATGTTTTGTGTTAATCTATTGTTTTGTTGTATTTTGCTATGTTTTCGGGATGGTCTATAGACCCCTTGCAGTTCATGGGAATGCAGCTCCAACTGGAGGACAAAACAATAGATTCTAGTTCCCAAGAGGATAAAAATCTTTTGTTTTGTCCTCCAGATGAAGCTGTTTTGACGTCACATGCAAGGGGTCAATATTGTTGTCTTTCTATACCTGAGTCTTCACGCCATTCTGCATCTCCAATGTCGCAATTACAAAGCTTTCTAGGGTTGTCACAAGTGCCCGTGAGGCCACAWGAACACATGTGCTTGTCTCTTGGAGCTCCACCCCAATAACTATGCAATGTACCCGARCCTGACAACCACTGCGCAGGCGCTGGGCCAATGGGAGCGTTAAGAATCCGGGATTTGAAGCAATTGAAGCTGATATAYTGTCGACAGTGTGTGCTCTTCTGGACAACAGCTCGCATGCTGGCCATGTCGGCCTGGTGGTATGTTATACGGTGAAAGTAGAATCGATTGTACTGTCTTGCGCCTTCTGGGACGAGTTGCTTTTGCTGTTGAAATTAAAGCGAAAAAGAAATATTAAATATTATTGAATGTTATTATATTGTTAAAATGTCCCGTCCACAAGTACACACTTTGTATACGATAAGTTGAACGTCTAATTATTAGTGTGTTTTCGTGTTCTGTCCACAAGGAAGCTCTATAATTAAACGGTTTTCGCGTAAACGTGTTGTGAACTTGCGGTGAACTAGCCTGAGCTGCGTCGGTGTTTCAAAAGAAACACTTGTGTAAAGAGATAGATTTAAAAACGTAACAAAGTAGAAGAAGCAACTTCCTGACGTTCGGACGTTAACTCCGACGAAGRATTAACGTCCGAGACGTCATTAAATTGTTTCTCCTACTTTTTTGCGGTGCTAAACTTATCCTTTTACACAACTGTTTCGCGAAAACGCTTTGATTGAAAACGATTGCGTACATAAAGCCAAGACATTCCCTTTCTACTTACCATTTTATCATGTGTGATGATAGTAGCAGCAGACTTAGAAGCCGTCACGTTACAAAGGACCTCAAAAGCACCCAAGGGTCCCTTCCCATCAGCATCAACAGTACAGTACGAATCCTGAGACACACCCAACGCCTTGTAGTCGGCACAGGTAGCCCGGTACAGCGGAATTTCACAGTAGTTGCCATGGTAAAATGTGCCTGCGCAATCACATGAGTACTGGTCTCTATATTGCTTACATCGTCCTCCATTTTGACAAGGGTTCGGGTAACACACGGATCTCGCGTTGCATTGATCGACGTCCACACCTATCAGACCTGACTTCATCTTTTTGGGGAGTATACGGGCTCCGTTGACTTGAATGTTGTGCATGCAGCCGATGAACCCAGTCCGGTGGGTCCCACTTCCAATGTAAACCTGATTCCTGAAGTTCCCAAGACCGGCCAATCGTGGGTTTGAATGGCGCACTTCCGGTTTGTCATCCAATAAGATCCAGATTTCTTTATGGTCCGCACCGGAAGTAAGATCATGCCACTTCCCGTCGTCAAGGTTACCACCAACGCTAATTTTGATTGGTGGGTCAATACCAATTCGKACTTCGAGTTCGAGAGTACCCGCRACTAGTCCAACGTAGACCCGGGCGTGGTTACTCATTCTAAAAGCGATGATCCCATTGGCCGTGTAAGATCGGAAGCTGAGRCTAAATGTTAGGTTGTTGAGGGAGGGGTCGGACAGTCGCAGGTGGCTCTGCGGTGAGGGGAATCCCACGGGGTGATATTTGTCCATAGGACAAGAGAAAGACAGTTTTTTCGTCGAAGTGGCGTAAAAAAGTAATTTATATTTCGCGCCATATAAGATATCGATGTAATCAAAATACACATCCTTTAGGCATCCAATAAAGTTAGGCGTGTTCCTAGAACCGTGAAAATCACTCTCCAAATTCCTATCCAGTCCCCCGACGTAGATGTACTTATCGAGGTCGAGACGAACGAAAGAGCCTGGGGTGGTAGTGGCGCGTTTCTCAGAATCCAAAGACACGACCAGGGCGGTTTTACTGCGATCGACTTTAACGGTATGCCAGCGGTTGTCTGCCAGTTGATTACCCATGATGACTTGGTGTCGTCCTGCTATGCTGCTGGTACTACCTAAGTCAATGGCGAATCTAAAGAAAAGAGAAAACATTGAAGATAATAATGCTATAGAAATAAAGGAAAGGAATAGTGCTTCCTCTAATTAGAAGGAGGTCATTCCAGTGTCCAGGAGAAAGACTCTTGAAAAACAATTCGCAAAAATTAATTTCCGACCTCGCTGGGATTAAATATATTTTTCCGAATATATTTCCAAGGGTCTTTCTCCCGAATTAACCTCCTTCTAATTAAGCACCATTCCTTTCCTTTGTTTCTATATCATGTTTATCATAGTGCCATGCGGACCTCGTATTTATTTAAAGATAATGGTTTGATTGATTCTCTGTTTGCACGTCATGATGTTATCCCCGCCATGTTTGATGATACCAACAACAAACAACGTTAGTCTCTTGTTTACTCATTCAACATGGCGGCGATACGCCTTTGTTATTTTTATTTTCTTACTTTTTTTTCATTTATTTATTTTCATTATTATTATTATTATTATTACTTTTTTTGTTATTCTGTGGATAGGTTCCATATTTGGAATTGTGTATTTCAAGTAACCTATTGTTTAGGAATTTCCAGTCACGCAATACACGAAGCCTCGCCCGTTACCAATCTACTCTACTGTAACACTGTCACAGACACTAGTTGAGCAAAAACAAGGTCGTTATTCAACTTGACAAGACTYCATTTATCCATAGGTAGGTAGTATTYGTACTCTGCTGTGTTGGTTGAGAAATAATTGTCAGTTTAGAGTCGTATCGTGGATTGTTTGAATGTTTCACGGGCGCTTTGCTAAGTTTTAGGTCGTTGATAACTTCTAACGATAAATAGTCAAATTTCATTTACAATATAGATAGTGAAAACTTCCACGCTTATATATATTCGTTGCACGCAATTACATATTTGTTGAGGAAGAAAAATAATTCAGGTATTATTTACTTGTTATTCTGAAATTTCTTTCAAAACATGATTTCCGTGCAATTTCCGCTCAGCAGTCGTGTCGCAATCGATCAACTTCGGAGCAACGTCGTAGCCGTTTCGTATTTGACACCTTTTRTCGCTCGACATTCGAAGAATTTTCGTAACATTGTCATTGCACTCTCGTWTCATTCGAGGAATTCTCGTCACTCGTCTTCATACGAAAATTTCTCGTAAAACTCTCCTTTCCAATCGATGAATTCTCGTAAAAATTATCGTTACACTCTCGTTTTCTTTCACGATAACTCTCGAAGCAACTTCGTTTTCATTCGAGGAATTCTCGTAAAATTCTTGTTACAATATTCTTTTCATTCAAATAATTCTCGTTGCATTCTCCTTTCCATTCGTGGAATTCTCGTAACATTGTCGTTACGCTCTCGATTTCAATCGATAAATTCTCGTAACATCATCGCTCCATTTTCGTTTTCGTGACCTTGCGGTTAAAGCACCTGTGAGTTCTAATGCCCTGAGGGACATGCGCGACCCCTATCAGTACATACTCCATATACATGTTATTATTGTGTTGGTATTTAAGACAGCTGTTATTTTAAAAGATATATGCACGGCTCACGCCACTGAACGGGGCTTTTAACACTATCATGATATCTATATAGAAATCGCGCACATGGCAATATAATTTCTTAATTACAACAGTTTTGTTCAATATTTTTTGTCAAAAACGTAATTAATTAGTTTATTATATTCCTGAAGACTTTCATTATAGAATAGATAAAAACTAACAGACCGGGAATACTAAAAAATAATGCACTATTTATCCAAGCGCGCGGATTAAAAGCATTTTCAAAATATTGATAGAAATAAGGGTGCGTCAGAATGACCTCAAAACAAGGGCACGATTCAAGAATTTGAGAAAACCTATGGAGTTTCGATTTCGAAGAATTTACCTTATTTTCCCGAGGCATCGTAATATAACAGAAATCAAGATTTGTGTTGCTTTTTGAGAAAAGAATTTTTCAGGGTCATTCTCTGATTATTTTTGATATCGAAATTTTACCACTGATCCATGAAACTTTAGCAATAACAATTTGTAGTATCCTCTGGTAAAATAGAGTTTTTGACGCGACATYTGCATCAAAAATCAAGTATATTAGCACATTCTCCTCCTGTGCAGATATTTTGGTAACGAAACAATTCGACCATCGAGGGMGCCATGTTGCAGATCTTTTCCTCACATTTCAGCGCAAAGTGTCAAAACGGAGGACAAACCACTGAGAAAAAGTTGCTGATTTGATCACAATTAACACAAAAAGTTAGTACAAAACCAAARTGGTAATAAAAGTGTGATAATTGGCGAACATTTTGTCTKATTTTCACCGTACAAACTGATTCTAGGATTAAGCAATAGGAATTTTCATTCTCCAAGGTTAGAAAAGACTGCTTGTCTAATCCAATCCATTTTCAAATATTGAACACATTGTAATAATTATAAGGTTTTTGACATATTTGAAGACGTAACATTGCTAAACAACGTCATTTTTTTTTTAATTTGCAACTTTTATTTCAACTCCAACTATTCCAACAAGAATGGTTTTCTCTTCGACAAGTTATATGTTGAAAATTATCATTTTTCAGAACGTGTTTTCGAAAAGATTATTTACCCTTTTCCTGGTGCTTACCATCTTCCGTTGGAATATTATAGCTTTCTAAGAATATCGAGTTTTGTGTAGCTCCTGGACAATAAGTTCCTAGAGCTTGGGGCCTTTACCAAAATTACAAATCGAGCGCTGAAGGGCAAGAAAAACTGGAGGAAAGTCGAGGGCATAGCGCGAGTTTACGAGATATTTCGAAAAGGTCTATGCTTCAAAATTCTTCAACGGTTTCGGCTTACTGTAGCAAACTTAAYTTGATTTCCGTTTTGATTTGGCAACAAGTAAACTAAAGTTTTACTGGCTTCTTTGAGTCAAAGTTTCAAAAATTATTTTAGTGGAGAAATTCTACTGTTTTTCTTTAATCATGCATCCAGTCAACTTATCATTTGTGACTCAATCCACCGTTTKGTTCAATTGTTTAAGTCAGATTTACTTATGTTCGACCTATCTTATCTCAGAAAGACTGAAAGTCACCTTAAAGATAAGAATTTTCTTTAGTGAAGTATACCTCCATTACATTCAAACAATAATCTTGTTAGCTTTCTTGTCAGTTTCCATTAGAAATTACTTTTGCTGAATTAAAAGCATTTCCAAGTCTAATTTAAAAAAAAAATCCGGTTAAAAGTATCCTCAACACCTTTCATAACCACCACAATTAGACCAAGAAAACTGTCTCGTTTCCACTGTTGCGAGTGATAAGCAATTGTTGCAATTTTCCGTCATAAATKCKGGCGACATTGTCTGGAATCTAGATGTTTACGTCCTAAAAACGCTATCTTTAATTTCTGAATCATTTGTATTTTTATATCAAGAAAATGTCATCTTTTTTTCATTAAAAAAGTTTCCTAAATTCCGTGTCCAAAGCCACAAACTGAACGCCCAGTTATCTTCAATTAATAAGGCTTTGGAATTAGATATAGGAAAAAAATTTATCAGTCGAAATTGTGCCCTTGTCAAAGTGTGTCTAAACAAAGACCTCCAGTCAATCCGAGATAGCCCGAGCAGCTTGAGCGCTAATTGAGTCTATGGCACTGGTTAGCCATTGTTTCTGTACACTACTTTGATCTTAGAATAAACAATTTTTTTTTTCTTATGGGAAAATTGCGACGTGAATTATTAATGCTGTATCATTGGGTATGGTTTGGGAAGCGAGTTACACGATACCAAATCCATTATTTCTGTTGAATCACTTCTCAGTTTTGAGCGCTTTTGTGGCTGGACCTCAAAGAAACTTTGGACAACCTCAAATTATTTTCGATGGCTTTGAATAAAAGGTTTTTGCTCCAGGAGAATGTTTACTTGGGAAGGGTACTAAGACTACTGAGGTAAAAAAAACAATGAAGAAAACTGATTGTAAGCAAAATCTCTCACCAAAATGACGCGGTGTTAAATTGACTACGACATTTCAAAACAAACATCAACACACTCCATTGGAACATCTAGTTATGTTTTGTTTTGACATAAAATAATTTGCGCACACTTTGAAGATCTTTTTCGTTTTCAAGCTCAACAGAAAACTCAAAGAGAAAGAGATATATTAAATTCCATATGCAAGTCGAAAGCAGAAGGTTTTTTGAGGGGGGATTTGCGGTATGTTTTTGATTTATCAGTGTTTTCTCTTTTGAGGAAAACTTTAATGTAACTCGAGACGATGTATACTTTAATTTTTATGTAATCTACTATAATATAAGATAAGATAGCAAAATCATTTCAATGAAAGACACATGTCTAGTGGAATTTTTAAACATCGATAATATTGGCCGTTCTTAGCGATTCAAAACCTAAAAAAACTSCCTGCATTTAAGTAATAATTTGTACACAAACTTCCGACGTTTTATCTTCTTTGAGCAGACCAACTRAGGAAACAATAACAATGTTATGACGTTATTATTATGTTTGCTCGCAACATTACTTCAATTCAARTGACCTTCCTGTCATCTCTTATTGTCGCTTTTTTTATATTTTGAACGACTTCGACTTATTCAGTATTTTAACGAGATCTGGAAGTATTATATTCTGATCTTTCCGATTTTAAAACGGAGCTGTTAATCAATTAATTAGCTCATGCCGAAGCTCGTGCGAACAACTTTGGTGTAAAACTCCGTCAAACATACCAAACTCTAGAGTCTTTTCTGTTGAGTTAAAAAAGAGCTAAACGAGCTTTTGTGAATTAAAGTGGGTGCAACAATACAGCATCTGTACGCTAAAGAGTTTGTTTCTGTTAAAACTTTAGCTCAATCGACACCTCTGACGAGCCGTTGTTTCTGTTGTTGTATTGTGCGCTTMGAGCTGGTGCTAATTATATTTCTATTATTTCAAATTGTGAAGAAAGTGATCTCTCTTTTGTAAGAGATCTTCTCCAGCTTGCACAAAGCTCTCCCATTGTGATTTTTATCGAGCTGGAATAGTTCTTTCTTTTGCTTATCACAAGGGACCGCGGAATTCCCTTGCACTGCCGTGCATCTTTGTCAAACATACCTTAGCTTTCCTTGAATGAGTTCCAGAGTTATAAAGTCCCCTTGCGTTCCACTACTGTAGATTAAAACTCCTGAAGGATGGAAAGTCTTAAACTGCAGAGAAATATGAGTATTATCTGTGGAAATACGATTGGTGCGAATGTCATAGGAGATGTACTGTGGTCCATTGAACTCCACCTCGTAACCAGATGAAAGAACATGTAAAATACTRCAAGTGAGAAAAATAAGCCTTAGAATCGAGTGAGGAGTCATCTTGCACGTTGACACCCTGCCAAGGATAATTCTCTATGCGGTGTAKTGTATGATTTCTGCCCGTCTTATCTTTGACGCATCTGCAAATAGGATGAACACTGGYTTTCCTTCTCTCTCARCTCAACTTAATTTTCTAATTTATGCATGAGCTCATTTACTTGTCTTTATACTGACACAAGTACAATAGAACTCGAACCTGATTGGCTCATTTGCAACATCCACTATAGGAATCCACCAATCAGCGGTCTTGTCTAATATAGCTCAAATACTTTAACAATTATTTAAAAAGTAAATTTTGCTTGACAAAATGTGGCAAATGTGGTCAAAACTGAATGGGATATGCTAGTTTAAAAGCATTACTCACTGAAAATATACCTTGGTTTTGTCAACATTACTATAAGATGCATTCGCGATGGTCTTTAAAGCGTTTTTCTTGTAATTGGTTTGTGTGTGCTAAGTTTGTCTATAAACCTTAATAAATACATGCTAAATACCCCGAAATACACCTGTTCCTAGATGAATTGTTTGGGCTGTATCTTTGCAAGAATTTTTGCGTGAAATCAGTGAAATACTTGAACTACACAGAGATTTAAAGCTGGCATTCAGTGGAAATGTTAACTAAAAAAACGAAAACCATATCAACAAAAGCAATAAAAAAAGTTTCAATTCCTCAAAGTTACAACGCACTTAACACTTTTCTGTTATAATCTGWTTCTTTGTTTCTTTGGGTATATGTTTTGTAGTAAACACTATCTCCGTCAGTGACAATTTGACAATTGAAAACCAATGTCAACCGATAGAAATGACTCGAAAAATTTGACTCATTTATAAAAAAAACTTGCCCAAAAAATTCTCGAAGTCTTTTATTCTAATTTCAAATACAGTTCCTTTATATTTTCGTTCTATTGTTTCTTTTATACTTTAAATCCACAATTATAATGTCTATTATACACGGGTAGTAATTTTGTAAAACTCTGCATTGTAGGGGGTGGTTGGTCACGTGTCCTTAACAGCTGGTAAGGCAGATTTTTCTTTGAAAACATTATCTATTATCACGGGTCACGGAGAAAACTTCTTATATATTAATCATTTCAAATCAAAGATCACATTTTCAACTCTTTTTCGTTGTACTAAGTAGTTCAAGCGAAATTATTTTCTTGTGGAGAATTTTTGCGCTAGAAACTCGGTCCTTAAAAGCAATTATACCATCAGTTTGTTTGCAAACAGGTAATGTCTTTAAAGCGAAGGGCGCGTGCCAGGGTGATAATGAGTCRAAACGATTAAGTATGGAAAAAATACTATTAAATTGGACATGACATTATTTGTATTTCAGTATCGATAACAGCATAATTTCTTTTTCAAAAGAGTTCGACACAACAATGCATGGAAAAGATAAAATTGTTGAAGTGTAGAATTGAAACGAGAATGTTGTCGCAAAAGCCTCTTATTTTGTCTGTTTGTTGTTGTTTTTTTTTTTAATTTTGTGTTCCTGTAGATAGTTTCTTGTTCATCATTTTTCTCGATTTCTTCTCGATTTTCATCACTTTTTGGGAAATTACTGTTTATTATGACTGATGAGTTGTATCTAACTTTGTAGCTATCTAAAGGTCCATGGTCCACCAGCATTCAATGCGGTCGTGTTTTAGATTTTTCATATTATATGGAAAATGAGGTGACTTCGAATATTCATTCGAAATTCGTTTCCATCCATCTTTTTAAGGTCGTATCTTACAATATCTCCATTCATATAGTATAAAAGGATAATAACGAGTACGTTTTTGCTTATATTACGATGTATTTTTATTTTCAAACATGAGCAAAAGCTCATGAAAGGATGCTGGTAGAACATGTCCGTTTAAGATAAAAAATTAACATTACTCTTACTGTTCTGATCGTTAATCTTTTTCAATTTTGATTAGCGATATGCTTGACGATAAATGTTTTTTTTAAGTAAGTGCTTCTTCTTAATATACTTTTGACCGTTTGACTGATCATTATGCAGCACCGGGGAAATTAACATGTCTACAATGTTTAAACCCCGGCATTTCCCGGGATTTTGATCTAGGCGTTATTTCTCCTGCTTTTCCGTTGATTGTGCTATTAAAACAGTGTTAAATGCCCGGCTATTATGTGTTAATTCCCCGGCCACCCCCGGGGGTCGGGGTACCGGGGATTCAATTCATTGATGATCGTTATTTTATTCCAAAGTTATACAATTTACTAAATTTCTACAACAACAATAACAAATAGCTATTCAACTGACCTGCTTCCTCGAGCAACGTGATTGTCGCACATTAAAAGTTCTGCTTTTTACTAAATTTACTAATTTTTTACAACAACAATAACAAATAGCTATTTAACTCATAACCTGCTTCCTTGAGCAACGTTATTGTCGCACATTAAAAGTTCTGCTTTTTATTAAATTTACTAAATTTCTACAACAACAATAACAAATAGCTATTTAACTGACCTGCTTCCTTGAGCAACGTGATTGTCGCACGTTATAAATTCTGCTTTTTAATCACATTTATGCATGACAAGAAGCCGAAGAGATTACGGACCTTTACCCACTGGCACAACATTAGATCAGGGGGGAGGGGAGAGAAGTGTAGTGTAATCTCAAAGTATACACACAAATCACTGGAAAAAATCGCGCACTTTTAAGGTTGTAAATTTGATGTAAATGTCATGTAGTATCAGTATGGTGGTCATTYACTTCAAATTTACATCATTTTGGACACTTACATCATATTTACATCAAATGTACAACCTTTAAAGTGCSCGAGTTTTGCCAGTGGAACCTAAACGTCATAAGTGAAATGTGTCAACTCTTTTTGTCCAAATGCAAGGCGTGTAGAGGGGCTTCACGAGGGAGGGTTCCACCTTTTYTWGTGGTTTCAAGACCGTGAAGAAGGTGATTGACTGCAAAATTGCACGGGTATTGTTTTTTTTTATTTTCGCCAAACAAACTGTTGCCAACAGTCCAATAGTCCAATAGACTATTCCAAATGTATTTAACTATTGATTTGGAAAATTAAGTCAGCTATTTCAAAGCATCCATCTGCCAAGAAGGAAAGGGGGTTCCCTAGAACCCTTGGAAAAACACCTCCTGAAATGGATTCTATTCTATTATAACTCTTTCTTCATAATATAATTAAGTAACAATAACAACTTCTTTTGATGGMTTCCTTTTAGTACAACGCTAAAACTCAACTGACTGAATTCTTCACAAGTATGATAAACTGTTTTTTTTTACAATACCTTTTAATTACAATTCAAATATTTGCCAAAATTATTTTGATTGAAAAGCGTCTTTCATTGGTGTCAATCAAAAACGTTTCACAGTCATTGCGACTCCCCACCCATCCCCATGTCTCACAATGCTTGGCTTTTGATTCACTAACTTAAATAATTGATCTATTCTTAAACAAAATTGGGACAGCGCAATATCTATCAGGTCTTATCACGAGGGGAGGGGGGGTTGAGAATCCAGAGGGGGGGGGGCAAAATCTAATTTTATGTCTTTAAAGAGGGGGCAACGTCTAAAATTAACTAGAACTTTAATTGGAAAGTGAAAAATTAACAGTATCAGATTCTGTGCTTTTTGGCCAAWTATAAATATTGTGCAATCCCTTATWTTAACTTATTGAAAAATCTTTGTCGGGTCACAAAAACTTGAAATCATCGAAGCTAACACCGAAGGGAATTTTAAGTACTCAGAAATTGGCATGATATCATATTTGCCTAAGCCTGTTGCATTATTCTTCGTTTTAAAGTTACGTCACAGCGGCCATCTTGGAGGAACTTCAACGAATAATTTCTCATTAGTATCTATTGTTCATTCATCCAACATGGCCGCCGGTCTTTTATCTCTTGAATTTCATGGGAATGGTTGAAAATGATCAATAGCATTGCTTGTAGAGAAGATAATAATAAAGGAAAGTTATTGGAAGGAGTTTATTTCGGGAGAAAGACCCTTTATTCAATGCAGAGGCAATCTTTTGGCATTCAGAAACATTTCTTTAACAGCAACATTTGTTTTCGCATGATTCCTTTTGGTCTTAGCTTTGCTAATGTAACCTTTGGAACCCGACTACGTTTTTTTTTCAATTAGGTGTAAATATCGATATTGTAAAATGTCATAACCAATCTGTAAATCAAGAAAATCTATGGGACATTCCACATGAATTGATTTAACAGATATTTTGGATACAAGCTGGCCGTTGGCGGCAGCTTTWCATATGCAGGGGAAGCCACAAATGTGAAACCGATTTCAATCTCTCGATCAAATTCAAGCAGAAATCATCGCCTCTACACCAGATGTACTCCTATTGGTGCATTTCTTTTCGGTCTTAACCACGTGACATCCAGTTGACGTCATGGAAGTTACCATGGCTACACCCAATAAGAGTTAGTCCCTAACCCTCCTATGCTACCGTTGTTATGTTCAGTTGGCAAGTGAGAGTTCTCGCCATGCGTCAGCTGTCGGCCCCGCGACGCCCGTTTTGTCACAAGGGGCATGAGACGAGCTGGGTAACCAGGCGGACCGGAATTAGGCACAATGTACTCGCCTCGTTTGCTATGCGTACGTACGCATGAGATGATTTTCGGCAGCGCGAATTTCAACATTAAGAGAAGTAAAATCACCAATGCACACGAAATGAGAACAATTCCAGTCGTCCCTAATCCTGGGTCTTCCCTTGACKTTTTTGACTGAACATTGAAGTCTTTTATCTCTTTGGTCGTTGTGCTTTCGACTGTTGGTGGGTTTGTCCACTTTATTGGTCCCGTCGGATCAGTAGGGAACGTTAGATTAAAACATATCTCACCCACTGGACACGGTGCTGATGTTACTGCAGTCGTCCTTGTTACCGTGGTAACTGTCGGGGGAAGAGTTGTTGGTTCAACGACCGGATAGCATGCACTTTTGATGAGATCCTCTACAGTCGTCGTCACTGGCTTTTTGTCGGTTCTTCCCCAGCATTCCAGCGGCCCGACGCTGAAACTACTATCCGTCTTCCCGGTCTTTTTATTGAACATAATCGTCATTACTGGGAGTTGATTCTTGATGTCAAGGTAACCCGCGTCAGTTCGCCATTTATACCTATCCTTGACGTCACAATTGCAGAATTTGGCGGGGTTTGCACACTTGCTAGGCTTACTCATTCCGCATGCGCACTTTCCGCTCACATTTGCCCCTCCCCAGTAGTTGTGTCTGATTCGGTTAAGCGACACCCAGTAAGCATGTGAACGATCACTGGGMGAGTTCAACAGTTTGGCATTTATACAGTCAAACCGGACGAACTGTCGACATTTTTCGCTGTGACGAATGAGGGCTGCGATTTGATCTTCTTCTAAGTTTTGATAGTAAATTTTATGGACGTACATTTCAGCTACAAGCTCGCCGTCCTTGACTCGAATGGAATTAGTCCCAAGATTGTGTTTAATAACAGTGTATGCCCTTTCAGGATTTGTGACGTTGCAAAGAGCCGTAAATCTGTCCTTAGCTTTAATTCGTCCAGTATGTAGCAAGCAATGTGAATCTTTCTTCAGCCCAAGTCGTCTATAATCCTCGCAYGTTTGCTTAAACACTGGACTCTGGCACTTTTTCCCTTCAAAATATGTGCCGTGACAATCGCAGTAGAACTTCTCCCAGTCTTGGATACACAACCCTCGATTATGACAAGGATTTGGTAAGCACCTGTTCTTGGTGGTACACTTCGAGACCTCAACTCCATATGAATGTTTCTTCTTGTTCATTGCTTTGAGGGGAATCTTATGACTGTCTACGTTCAGATTCAACATACATCCCACAAATCCCGGGTACTTTGACGCCGAACCGCCTCGACCTGCGAAGATTTTCATCCGGGAYTTATTGGAATAATCAAGTAACAGTGAGGTCATGTTTAGAATTCGCGAGTGTACATCACCGTCTAACTGAAGGCTGACTTTTGGTGGGACRATTGTCGCGTTGACGTCATGCCATTCTCCGTCCTGCAAATTGCTTCCTAATTTGATATTCGTCCTCGTTCCGTTAGCCGTTACGTCATAATGCAATGCCCCTTTGTCCAACCTTACGTACATCTTAACTTTGATCGCGTTRCGCGAGAACAGGAGTCCGTTTCCGTAAAACGTGCGGAATTTGAAGCTCGCGGAAAAAGTATCGTTGTCTTGTGGTAATTTAGGTAAAGTAACTTTGACGTACGACCTTTGATTCAGAAACGTAACGGGACGATWATCTTCCAGTTGGCATTTAAATGGTATCGTTCCATATTTGAAATAAGGTAATAGCATGTTCTGTAATCCTTCCAGTAATTTAATACTATCAAAGTGCAAATCTCCGAGGCATCCACGATAGTSAGGAGCTGAGACTTTACGATTCAATTTTGTGGCGGCACTCATCCCTCCGACAAATATATAGCTGTTTAAATTTAGTTTATTGTATTGTCCTGGAAGAATTTTRGTCATGGGAGATTGRGAATCGACTTGCAGTGTCGTCTGCCTTTGCCTTCGTTGCACGATCACTGTGTGCCATTCGCCGTTGAATAAGTTTTTGCCAGCTCGTATTTCGCTTTTCTCTTCACCTCCTAGGTAGAGAGTGTATCTGGAAGACGAAAATGGAAGAATTAGTTCAAAACAAGAAGATAAAATCTAGCGCCATGATTTTTGTGATAAAACAAACACCGCGAGAAGGAAAGGAACTTTGTAATGCTTTGGACGTGATACTACGAGATACAAAAAAACGCAACGTTTTTTCTTAATCATTCAGTATTTCTCACTTTTCATGGCCTGCTTTTTGTCGTGCGACAAGTTGCCAGCGTTTAGCAAGGTGTAAAACGAGAAACATCGAAAAAAGCAGCAATGTTCCGAGACAAGACGAAGTTGAGGGTTTGTGTACCTCGCATTTCTTGGCCTTAGCGAACTGCAGAGTCGTCCAGAACGTCAGTAAACTTGTTCTGTTTTTACAGTATATGTCTTTGTATTTTATCAATATCTTTGGATTTATCTTTCAATAAATGAAATTTAAAGTTTTGAGTTTTTTGAGAGAATAAGCTGAGTACGATGGAGTTGTATTTCATGCAAGTTGTGGAGGCTAGGCAATATGGCGTCGTCCATTCAACCCTCGAGGGCACTGTTGTACAATGCARGACAAAGAGTACAATACCTCAAAAATTATTGTACTCTAACGTTAAGATATGTATGTTATGTTCAATAAACCTAGGCCAATAGTAAACAGGTATATATTTCTGAATAAATATAGTAATCAGACTTAATAGTGGTTCCAGCATCAAATTCATGTTCGTCCATCATCAAGGACTTTGAACATTAAAATACCTCAAATCCAAAAGTAAAAGCGATGACACAGTAGGTTTGAATAGCACCTTTAGGAATGGGATAATTTCTTTRTTATCGCTTATTCTGCAAGTTTTCAGTCACTTTGAAATCATAGATTTGTGTGAGTTTTTTACTGGCTGAAAATCAAGATGGCGGACGTGTAGACTAGAAAGGTCACGACGAATTTACGCCCGAATGGATAATATGATTTATTAAAACACCAGCAAAAATAATGACGTTTTTTTCTAAATGATAAGAATGTTTTTTCTAGCTTTATTTATATTTTGCTTTTGTTATTGCATTGTATAAAAGAATCGGCAAGCGATATTCAAAAATAACAAGCAAAATGTCATGAAACTCAATCAAGAAATAGTTCAAAAGACACCAAATCTTCGTAAATAATAAGATAAGACACAAGCCAGGTACAGGCATTGTTTTTTTGGTGTTTAAAGTTTAATCATGGTGAATTCCCTTTTGTGTTTCCCACACATAACTCTATTGTCCATGCTGTCTAGTCCAAGATGAACTGTTTTTAGCAACTATTCCCCCTAAAATTTCTGTTGTACAATTTGGTGCTGAAATACAATTGTGTAATAAGTAATTGAAGCTGAGAAGAAATTAGATCGTAAAAGAGAATAATCTAAAGGAACAAGATTCCAATGATGAGTTTGTCAGATTATTGACAGAGCTAACAATCGCTAATTAGCATCGAGGCGATAGTCGTTTCTCTGAAATGACACTACTTATACTGCGTTAAATCTTAAACTCTAAGCACTGATTATTGTTCATGTGTGTAATCTTAAGGGAAGCTTTAAATCATGATGTTGTAATTAACWATTCAAAGAACTCTATAGTATGGTGATTCGTGGGTTTCGCGCCCTTTTTTGAGGTCTTCGTTCCACTGCGCCTCATTAGATTCTCAGTCGCGTTCATAACAACAGAATACACAGATTTCTCCACAAATAATGACCACAAGCTTCTTATCTATTTGAAAAAACACTTGGGCATTCTAAAGGCTTTTAGTCTATTGGATAATACAGAGTTTGATGGTGACAGAATAAAATCGTACTAATTAGCATTAAGGAACATTAATGACTTTCTATCCACCCACATTTTTGGCACTAAACTCACGCTGTGGAAAAGTTATGGATTTTGATTTTACAGCTTCATTGTTATGTTTTAATTTCGTTGTATTAAAACGACAACAAAGTCCAAATAGTCCACCATTTTGGAGAATGATTATAAAGTCACTTTAATATTTTTAGTGCTTTGCCGTTTGCTCATGTGCGCTGTTTTCTTGATATCGCTGTGCATTGAGTTTAATGTCATTTCTGAACTCGTATTCCTGTTTTAGAATTGCTAGCTTCCTTCCTTCCTTCCATCATTCCTTCCTCCGTTTACTTGCAAATCTTCGTTTATTTTTCATTTAGAAAATTGCAACTTATTGGATTGATAAAACAGATACAACTTATTCCATTCAAATAAAACCAAAATATTTGAAAATATATTGTCCAATTGATGTTACAGCTTTAACTTATTATTTCAGCCTTCAATCTTTGAATTTTCACACACATGTTTCGCGTTTTAATTAAGCTCAACGTATTTCGAGTCATAATTTTGTCAACATGATCAAACTTTCAACAAAACGCTTGTCAGATTCGCAGCTTTTTTGCGGTTGAAGTGTTTTTGTTAACTTGAGGCGCCTAGGGTTTAGATTCGAAAWTTCCTACGGATTAATGTTGAACTTCTTTGGGAAAAACTCTACTCATGTAGAAAATGCAACTTGAAATTACTATTACTATTCCAATATCGGAATCTTTTCTTTGATGATTTTGATCTCAATCAGATGACGATAAACAAACAGAACATATAATGTAACCAGCCAAGAAGCGGTGAGCTAGCTTTTCGGTAATAAATCCTGGTGTAATTGAGCAACAAATTTTCGTCTGATGTTCCGATGCGTTCAAAATTGCTCTTGACATGATAAATTGTTGGAAATAATGGATAATGAGGTGAACTGTAACCTTGTGTYGCGAAAAGTTCTCCATCARGAATTTTATAAGGATGTTTTGCGTACTGCGCAGTGGGGGATTCTTTCATATAGCCGCAACGTTTCGCTCTAGGTTGTCTTTAGGTTTATCGCGGTCTTCATTAGCTACAGAAAACAATAATCTACCAATGCTTGTCGCAGAGTGTTGGTGTATAGCAACTAGCACGCGTAACTTAACGTAGTTTTCCGGTATAGTTTAAGGTTTTGAGTGATGCCTAATGATTTTCTTTTCATCTTATTAGGCGCATTTTGTGCCCATTTAAGCGGTTTTAAGAGGGTATTTTTGGCATGCGACTTGAACCAAAAGTGTTATTATTCCACCTTTAAGTAGCTCAATAAAAMTAAAATTAATAAAAGCAAAATCGTAGAGCTGTTTACAGCGAAAGTTCAGTGTCACCACATTAAATAAATACATCAATAAAATCTACAACAATTTGAAACATCTTTTAGCGCGCGCTTGATGTCCTTTCCTGGCGGGTGAATTTTGATTTTTTGAAAATATATCGAAATATATAGWCGACTCTGATTGAGATTGTAATCTTTTTTCGTATCAATAAGTGAACACTAAAACATTTAAATAAAACACTTGATATAGAGTTACTGGTATACTRTTCTGTGTAAAGTCAGACGGCCCTGGTTAGGAAATCCCTATTGTCTAGCACAAAACCCAGTGTCCCAGTAAGTGACCATGCATTTTAAAACAGCGAGCAAAATATTCATTCTTCTATATGAATCATAAATATAAAGTATATGTAGATCCACATTAATATGGCATAAACTTCTAGGCGCCTAACATTCAAACAGCGTCTTGTTTTGGAACTCAGATACTTAAAGCCTTGACCACGGTTATTGAGGGTCAATCGAGCCGATTTCCAAATTCCAACCCCATGGTCAAAACCAAATTATCAAGACTTACTTGAGGGCGCCGTCAATCAACTCCAGTTGGATATAGTCTGAGATTCCGTTGCTGTATAACAGCAGCCCCGAAGGATGGATTGTTTTAAAACGAAGAGAGATGACGTTCTTGTCTGTAGGAATYGGATTACCATTCAAACTGTAGCTGAAATATTGGTTTCCTCGGAATGTCACYTCAACAGAGYGTGTGTAGAAGATGTTCAACACTACGACCAAACACGCCAAAACAGAGCTACGCATTCTGAGGGGCCTATTACAACTTGATCGAGTGAACAATTGATTATATCAATGTTTTTTTCCTGAAACGCTTCAAATGCTACATGTTCAAGAGATTTTGGAGAAGTTTTTTTGCGTGCGCCATTACTCGCGCACTGGTTTCGAGGTCTTACGGTTGGCTGTCAAGAGTTGCTCAGGAGTAAACAGTTTTATTCGCAGTCCAAACCCAAAGATTTTAGAATCGGAAATGGGAAACTGTGATTTTGTTTTGGACCAATCCAGAGGTGATTTCGTAATTGTGTCTTAATTGATTCTCTCTTAGTGTAGGAACAGGTGTTCGACTRAAGCCCGGTTTGCACTTGTCGTTATTACTCTTRTTCAATGAGCGGGCTTCTCACGGGAACACGATATTTTATTCATCCAGTTTCGATTTTGAGCCACGTTTTCTTTATTACCTATGATATTTCTGGCGAATATTCCTCGAGAATACAAATCATTCGTTGCGATATTTTAATTGACAAATGATCTTGTGGCTTTGGATCAAAATTCGCAGAGTATCACATCAGATGCTATCAACTGCCCATGCTCTATGAATGGCTACTCAAGACTCGAGAATTCTTGAGACACTATTTTAGAATCAAGCACGCCAAATAGTTAACTTTCTGGTGCTCTAACTCTACATCTGTTTCAAGTGGTCTTATCTTTCAAACTTCTGCGTTTCATGCAGGTCTGTCACAGTAATATTCTAGCACTTTTGATTACATACCCCTTTGTGAGTCCTCCACAAAGATCTGTATCAAAGACGTCGATCTACTTGGACRAGAGATAAGAACCTGAACTATAATTGCTTTTCGAACGAAAMGTTTTCGTGCAWAGCTGTAGTTTAGAGAGCAGTTTGGGTAGTATTTTACCAACAGGATAAGAAAACTTGTAAGATTCGCTTTTATGTCTGTTGTATTTTCAGTTCGTGATTTGCTGAGTTTTTGCGGTCTGGAGAATTTAGACGTTGGGCCWWWGGTYTATTTGCTTTTTAATATTTTAAGACATTGTCTATCGAAACAAGATCTTTTTTAACACACCTTTGCATTAAATATAAATACAAGGACTAATTTTTTTGAAAAAATTGGAAGTGATACAGAAAAAAACCATCTAGAAACTAAGACAGTTTTTTAAAAGTATTTTGCAATAAGCGAAAAGACCGCTTCGGTGTCAAGATCCACACTTTTTATTGAAAAGCGTTTGGGTGTTGCGTGCTTGGTGGAAACCATTTGAATGCCTCTAAAAACCATTCTAGTGTTAGACATAAACATTTCAGCAACCTAAAAAAAAATAACCAAAAAAACATCAGCTATACTTGACAAATTTATTTAAAAGAATCGTTCAGGATATCTCATTTTGTGTTTAAAATACAAAGATGTGTTTTTCGTTTTGGAAACCATTTTAGTRCCAAAATAATCGAAAACCTATATTCCATTGCTCAAAATGAAAAACCAATTCAATGCTACAAGGCTTCAAGAAGCCAACTCCATGTAACAACAAGAAAAATATCCTTTTCCTCGCTATAATGGATCATCAAATGGTTGCAAGCTTCAGTCTTTTGACTGTCCCTCGTTCAGTATTTTCAGTTTATTCATTAGTTTGTATAATATTATCTTATAATTATTATGATTTTCAAAATTCGTTTTTGCTCTCAATAGAAGTTAAATAAGTAAAAAGTAAATGCCAAACATTGGCAAATTAAGATTGTCGTTAAGCTCCTTAATTGGAGTACTTTTTGTCAAAGTCATATCTACTTGGACAAGTCTGTCTAAGCTCACTAATTTGAACTTTTCAATTGTTGAAAACAACAAAATTTGGATTAAATCTTTTCTTGAAAATGTTGGTTCAAATTTCCTGCTTTTTTCATTTGTTCAAAAATGTATACGGATCCGGAGAGAACGGTGATTTTTCCTTGAGATTTCATGACTGAAATTGGCCATTCAATTATCAAAGAACAACCAAGGCTAAAACAGTTATTTTGAATTTCATGAATAGTGTGATGTATTATTGGATTATTTCTGAATTAAACTACAACAATCACTTAGTTGAAAGCTCCTTCGGTCGTGCAAATATCGATCAAGAATCGTCAGTCTCCTTTCTCCTCGAGGCAAACCTTTCATTGAAATAGCATATTTAAGGCAATGATCGGTCCATTCTCTTGTTCGCAAAACTGGCAAAGTTTTATTGTGCTTTACTTTTGTCATGTTAGACTTCCATGTACCGTGCTTCACTCTACAAGCTGTGCTTTTCTCGTTACACTTTTTTTAACTTTTTTTTTTTTAAATATTGCATATTCTCAAACCTGGTRTTACCTGTCATCCACTGTACACACAAAAACTATTTAATTCTGCACACTGCACACTGCAAAGAATTTTAAGTGAAATTCTTTTACGATGTAAGGGCATTAACCAGAGTTAACTAATCGTACCCGYAATGGCATTGATATAGCTTTTGTAAAGTTACTCGCCTAGGGGAGGGGGGGCTGGGGTATACTCCTTGGCTAAACCTACTACGCAGGCTTCAGGCTRCCTCAGATGAAATTATCGCTTGGCCTCACTGTAATCTGTGACGTCACGTGTTAGGATCTTATCAAAATTTCAGTGTGAAAACATGCTTCCTAAATTTTAAGTTCGTCTTGCAGGGCCGTAGCCACCGATGTGGCTTGACCAGTTTCAACCGAACCAACATTTACCCTAAGAACCATTCCAGAAAATCCAATTCTAAATAATGTGTGGCTACGTCCACTTCGTGTATTGACTGTATTGAATGAGTCATAAATGTTCTTCGTTTCGGTGGTTTTATAGTGATAAAAGAARTTCACGTCCTTATCTGTCAATGAATTTGAGTCAGCTACAGTAACCATCTTGTGGCTAAATATGACGGCAGCATTGTAGCCTATAATCAGATAGACAAAATGGTCAAATCTGTCTTCTGCATTACTGCAAACTATTTGAGACATTTGTGATTTCATTCTCAGTAAAATCTACGTTTATCTTTGAAGGGCCTTTCTCTTCCGGCTCACTAGGGGCCGAAGACTCTTGTTCACAAATACTGCCTTTTTCGTACCCTGGTCCCAGAGGTTTAATTTTCTCTTCTTTTCTAGATGTTTTTTATCGTATTTTTGTCTTTGTTTTTTATATTTAACGTCGCAAGAAGAAAACGACGTTAAATATAAAAAACAAAGACAAAAATACGATAAAAAACATCTAGAAAAGAACGTCGCAAGAAATATAAAAAACAAAGACAAAAATACGATAAAAAACATCTAGAAAAGAAGAGAAAAGAAAACCTCTGGGACCAGGGTACCTTTTTCGTGTTGAACAGCTACCTCCCCGGTACCGAAGGAAAAAAAAGGAAACAAGGCCCATTATCACCCTAGATGCTTCGCGCGCCTCGACATAATTTCGTGATTTTGTGTTAATTTTTCGGCTATTGAGAAGTTTAATGAAATGGCCTTCCATAGAGTTGCTGAAATGAAACAAGAAATAACAAAAATTACGACCGGGACTTCCGGTTCCATATTTCCCAGAACTAATTTGCATAAGGTTTTACAAGGAATTGTGGGAAAGGGGCTTTCTCGGAAGACTTTTTAGTCTAAACTTCTCCAAACATTTTTGAAGTCTGTAAATAGGTTCTCGAAAGCAATAATAATGTAGGTGTTAAAGTTACAAAAATAGCACAAAAGACATGGATAGTGATTACAAAGAGCTTTTGGTGAAGATTGCGCGCGAGATCAAGCGCGAGGATTTGGAAACGATGAGATTTTTGTGCGATGATTTTCTACCAGAAGCAAATTCCATTCCCCAAACTGCAAGTCAGAGCGACGTTTACATAGAAGCGCTACACTTCTTTCGTGAGCTAAAGAATGCCCAAAAGGTTAGTCACGAAAATTTGGAATATCTAAAACGATTGCTGGAGAAGGCAAAGCGAGACGATCTTGCTTCAAAAGTGGAAGACTTTGTCAGTGACTCCCGGAGTACAAGTCCCGAAGCAGTTCGTCCAGAACCAAAGATTGAGCCAAGTGAAGGTACACGATCATATCTTTCTTTTATAGATGTCGATAGTGTTAACCATGGATAGCATAACTTAATTGAAGAGTATACGATATTTTCGTAGACATCAGCTTCAGACCTTCGAGGTGTTGTCATGCAGCGAAAGAAATGCTTATTGATTCCAGAGCTCCTCTGTATTGATTCTAAAGGCTAATAAATAATTTAATACCCAAACTGTATAAAAGAGTTTAATTCGAGTTTAATAATTAAAATTCCTCTTTAAATTCAGTTCTTCATTCAGGAAGTTGGACGGATGACAGAACAAAAGCACAGGTACATCATTACTTTTTATATACAGCATTTCTGTAAATATAGTGTAAAATTTGTATAAGGGTTGCAGTATTTTGCATTATTTTCTCTGGAACAGGGTCAGGGTTTAATTCTGGAATTATTGATGCTGTGTAAAAATTCACGGGGTAAAAATTTGGTCTACACGCAGGCTAGTGCTGGATTTTACTCTGGGACAGGGTATCATTTTCAGGGATGTTAATCTGGAACAGGGTATAGTTTTCAGTAATTTCACTCTGGAACAGGGTCAGGGGCTTCGAGGTCCCAGCGGCACACCCCCATCCAAGTTTGGGGGGAGGGGGACCAGGGAAGCATGATGGAAGCTCTGTATGTATCTCTGTTAAAATCCATGGTCCAGGAGACGACACACATATTCGCTGCATCTCTGAGTTTCGTGCTTACGCACTTATCAAGCAGTTAAGATACAGAGAAATAGAATATATGCAAGGATTTTTATGAAAGGGAAAGGGTGAAAGTCAAAGCAGATATATTTAATTTTTATTTTTGTCAATGACATTCTGCACCCATATTAACCTGCAACAGAGAAAATTAAAGCATTTTCAACTAAACTAAAATTTATATGTAGACAAGGAAAAGAGAAAAGAGGAAAAGATACAAAGAAAGAAGACGAGAAAGAGAAGGAAAACTTGACGGTATATTATTTGATTCATTTTTCCCTTTAATTTTCATTATGCTTATATTTGGCTTTGTTGTATTCTGTTCATTCTGTTCATTTCATATGGTAAACTGAAATGATTGCAGTTCTTAATCCTGCTCTATTCTGTTTCCATTTCATTCAGGGACTGGGGATGTCAAAGAAGAGCAAGTTCATGAAGATCAAACTGCTGAACACAACAATCAGAGTCAGAGGACAGAAAACCAAACGAAGTTGAGTGATGAGAATGAAAATCAGAAGTTTGATGAATGGCCCTCCCTACATCAAACTACTCTATCTAACTTCTCTGGCAATAAAAGCAACAAAAGGTATGAATGGCAGAACAATCATAATTTATCATTTGCAACTTATTGCAAAAACATCAAATAAAAATCAAAGGTAAAACTTCATTAAAGCTAATAAGAGCAAAGGGGATTAATTGCAGGTTGTTATGAATTTTTAATTGTCTGAATTTGCCTGAATAACTTAAACTTGATATGACATGTTTTGTTCTGCCATGCTCCCATTTGGTCTTATTAGCTTAGATTTTGTAGCCATGCTCATGGTTGAAAACATCAAATTGTAAAATATGTGAAAGAATAATTTCACACAATCAATTATTGCATTAGCCAGACATTTCTGTGAGGCAATGGAAATGGCTTGTCTGTAAATTATCTGAACTTCTTGCTTTTAACTATAAACATTATAAGCAGAGAATCAAGACATCACCCCAAATCATTGACAGACCAGCAAAAGTCTTTAACAGGACAAAATGGGATTTCCAAGGATGGGTTACCAACTACAAACACAATTAAAGAAACTGTACTGAATGGCATCACAAGGCCAGTTGTACACAAGGACCCAAAGGATGATGTACCTAGACCTGCTGTCTACAAGGACCCAAAGAATGATGTACCAATCTTAAAGAATGATGTACCTAGGGCTGCTGTCTACAAGGACCCAAAGAATGATGTACCAATCTTAAAGAATGATGTACCTAGGGCTGCTGTCTACAAGGACCCAAAGAATGATGTACCAATCTTAAAGAATGATGTACCTAGGGCTGCTGTCTACAAGGACCCNCCCCCTCCCAAAAAAGGAAAAACTAGAGGAAGGAAAAAATGGAAACAAGATCCATTATCACCCTAGACGCGACGCTTCGCGCGCCTCGACATAATTTCGTGATTTTATGTTAAGTTTATTGCAATGGACTTTCATAGAACAAGAAACAGCAAAAATTACGACCGTAAATCATCACCACAGACAACTCGAGATTGCTTGACCGACCGATTAGAAACAAGCACTCCTTTTCAAAACAAAAACAATCGATCGCAAAGCATCCCGGGTGATACTAGAACTTAATTTTCCTTTAAATCTTTTGATTCAAAATAACTTACAAAATCTGATCGACACGACCATTATCGTTACTGTTTTCCCGCCATTAGTTCACGGGACTTCCGGTTCCATATTTCCCAGAACTAATTTGTATAATTGTCAAACAAAATTTCACAATTTGTGACAATTTTAAAATATCACAATTGGTATTTATCCCAAATTCCACGTACAAAACATGCTATCATTTGTTTATAAAATGATTGAATAAAATTGTGCAGTTGACCAGTCCTCCAAGCCAATCAAATTGCACAATTTTATTCAATCATATTATAATACAAGGAATTGTGGGAAAGGGACTTTCTCAGAAGACATTTCAAACAGTTCTGAAGTATACGTCTGTTTGTAAATAGGTTCTCGAAAAGCAATGATAATGTAGGTGTTAAAGTTACAAAAATAGCACAAAAGACATGGATAGTGATTACAAAGAGCTTTTGGTGAAGATTGCGCGCGAAATCAAGCGTGAGGATTTGGAAACGATGAGATTTTTGTGCGATTTTCTACCAGAAGCAAATTCCATTCCCCAAACTGCAAGTCAGAGCGACGTTTACATAGAAGCGCTAAACTTTTTTCGTGAGCTGGAGAATGCGCAAAAGGTTAGTCACGAAAATTTGGAATATCTAAAACGATTGCTGGGGAAGGCAAAGCGAGACGATCTTGCTTCAAAAGTGGAAGACTTTGTCAGTGACTCCCGGTGTACAAGCTTCTCTAGGGAACCAGCGTCGTGCGAAGCAGTTCGTTCAGAACCAAAGATTGAGCCAAGTGAAGGTACGATCATAGCACCTTTTTTATAGATGTGGATAGTGTGTTTTTAACGCCTTAACCATGGATAAGATAAGCTTGATCGAATAGTAAACGATATTTTCGTTAGACATCAGCTTCCAAGGTCTTCCAACCTTCGTGATGTTGCTGCGAAAGAAATGATTTGAATTCTTATAACGCTTCTAATGCTAATAAATAATGCTTATACAAATAGTCAAGAAATAGTATTTTTAACGTAAAAACGACTTTAAAAACTTGTGAAGAGATCGAGCCTCAGTACCCGTCTTGATAGTAATAATGAAATTATGTCATATAGAAACATCTGTGAAGATACATGTATCTGTTTCTCCCAAAAAAATTAGAAAAATTTTTACACTCGTCTGAAATACCTTCAATACATAAATGATACCTCTATCACATATGACAATTACTCTGTAATAAAAGAGTTTGCTGATTAAAATTCTTGAATTCAATCCTTCATTCAGGGAGTTGGACGGATGACAGAACAAAAGCACAGGTACATCATTACTTTTTATATACAGCATTTCTAGAAAATAATGTCAAATATGAAGTAATGTTTGAAGTCCGACAATGAGGACTGGACGGGATTTCAAGTCCACGCAATTAGTTCCAGTCCGAGGCGTTAGCAGAATAATTTGTGCCTTTTGCAATGCTTTTTGCTTATGATATATAACTATTTTTTTCTTTTGGCGACTGAAACTTGACACCTACAATAATATTATATAGAGGTACCAGCAATATTTCTAAAGTTAGACATACAGGTAATTCATGGATCAGGGTATTTTCTGTAAATAAATAAAAACCTTGCAAATAAACTTTATTCAAAGTTCTCTTTGATGTACAAGTTAAAAATTATAACAAGCTAATTAATACAAATCTTTGAAAATCATAGTATATATACAAGTAAATAAATATTTTATTAATTTTATTAAAAATAAATATTATATTAAAAATAAATATTATCAGAAATGAAAGGAGGTAAATAATTCAAGATTATTGGCTGATTTATGCACAAATGATGTATTTTCTACCGTCAACTCGAGCACCCATCAACAAGTGTTCACTTGCCAAACAATTACAGTCTTCAAAAATATTTAATCACATGGATATATAAGGTTCACGCATTTACAGAAGAATAATTATTCAGTGGACTAAATTATATTACAGTCAAAAGACATGAAGCGCGCACCCTCAAAACACCATTATTCAACTCACCTCTAACACTCTTTTTTAAAACACTCTTTGTTAAAACACTCTTATTAAAGCATTGTGTTGAAGGTTCCATAAAAAGAGTTGTTCTTCATCTTTGTACACTATAGTACAAGTGCAATTTATAATGCTTTTTCAACAATATATATTTTTGCTCTATACTGGACAGTCTTATCATCGGTGATAATTCAGGTAATTTGTTTTATATGTCAGTAATCGCTTTTGGGAGTAACCACATGCGCTCTTTGAGCGCCTTTAATTTATATATAAAGTCAAAGCAGACAAATAATTGCTTTTGTTGTCAAACACCAATCATAATAGCCTGCAATAGAGAAAATAAAAGCATTATTCAACTAAAATAAACTTTATATGTAGAATAGGAGAAGGGAAAAGAGGAGAAGATACAAACAAAGAAGACGAGAAAGACAAGGAAAACATGCTGGTACATTTTTCCCCTTTTTATTATGTTTATATTTGGTTTTCTCGTATTCTGATCATTAAGTTCATTTCATAATGGCCGGTAGACTAGATATGATTGTTATAGTGTTTAATTCTGCTCTATTCTGTTTCCATTTCATTCAGAGACTGGGGTGGTTGTCAAAGAAGAGCAAGTTCATGAAGATCGAACTGCTGAACACAACAATCAGAGTCAGAGGACAGAAAACCAAAGTGATGGGAATGAAAATCAGAAGTTTGATGAATGGCCCTCCCTAGATCAAACTAGTCTATCTAACTTCTCAGATACTATGACAGCAATGAAAGGTATATATGGCAGCTAGAACAGTCATTTGCAACTATAATTGCAATACTTCATCAACGTTAATAAGAGCAAAGGGAATTAATTGCAGTTTGTTCAGAATTTGGAATTTTCTAAATTTGTCTAAGGAATGACTGAAACTTGACATGACATGTTTTGTTCTACCACGCTCCCATTTGGTCTTAGCTTAGATGATGTAGCCATGTTCATAGGTGTAAAAACATTAAATTCTTTTAAATGTTTATAAATTTAAAAGAATAATTTCACACAATTAATTATTGCATCAGCCAGACATTTCTGTGAGGAAATAGAAATGGCTTGTATACAAAATATCTGAAATTCTTGCTTTTCATTATAATCATGGCAGAATCAGGATATCACACCAAATCATTGACAGAGCAGCAAAAGTCTTTACCAGGGCAAAATGGGATTTCCAAGGAAAGCTTACCAACTACACACACATCTAGGGAAACAGTACTGATTGAGATCACAAGGCCAGTTGTACACAAGGACCCAATGCCAGTCTTTCGCAAAGACTTAAAGAATGATGTACCTAGGCCTGCTGCTAACAAGGACCCAAAGAATGATGTGTCAAGTGCAGCCTCTCAGAAGGACCCAAAGACTGATTTGCAAAAATCGAAACCATCCCAAGATGTAAAGAGTGATGAGGCAAAGGCAGACATCTACAATAAGCGAAGTAGCGATGTGGAAATACCGATGTATAATAACCTATCAAATATCAGTAATGAAGAAACATTCCAAATCTCTAACAACGCAATAAAACCAAACACATCAAAAAATTATTTTCCATCGCTAAAGAACGAGATATTAAAGCAAAGGAATGAGGATGTAAAATCGAGCTCGTCATCAACAAGAGCAAAAGATAATCACCAGCTGATTGCTTTATCTAAACCACGAGATGACCGACCTAGCCCAAGTCTTCAAGAACCAACAAAATGTATTTCATTGCAGACAAGTGATATGGGCTATAAGGTAATAAACCATATTTGCTTATAATTGGTTTCAGTAATAGATTACACTAAGGTTTCTTATTTCATTTTTTGTTGCTACCGAACATTAATGTCAATATTGTTGTTCCGTTATTTTTACTTAGACAGTGAACGAGTCTGCAAGTGGCACATCTCAGAATCGGCCAATCGTAACTGGTAAGCCATATGCAGGTTTTGAATTATTTTACATAAGTTATTCCTTTTCCACCTTTGTATGTTTTGTTTTGTCTTTATTATCAGGATACCCATCCCTGCACATTCATTGCCCATTCAATCTGCAATTTTTCAGATCTGACAAAGTGTTCAGAGCGAAGAGAAAATATGAATATGATGCAGACAATATGGCAGTCTCTATCAGATTTTATTCTAATATTTTAAAAACGTTTAAAACAGAAATTCAAGATCAACCAAGGTGCATCCTCTTTTTGTGCGACAAGTGGCATTCTTGGGGGGAAAGCATACCAGTGTTTAATCGTGAGCTGTGCTTTGCATTAGCACGTGCTGGCCATCATGTGGCTTGTCTAGTTTTATCATCTTCAGATATCGAAAGAGAAGAAGCTCGGAAAGAATGCGTAGAGTTGATAACGTGTTGCGAAAAGTCAGGAATAAACAATGGAGACACACAGCTTTTCCAATTTCACGATCTTGGATCACTTCCTTTCACTCCAGATGTTGTAGTTGGACATGGCAAGATCACCGGTCCTGCAGCTGTCTTCTATTCCGAGAAAATATTTTGCCCAAGACTACATGTTATTCATGATCTTCCAGATGAGTGCCTAAAGTATGATGAAATTATTGATAAACAGTGCAAAGAGGAGGACTTGGCCAGGACTGCAGATTTTGTCGCTGCAATAGGAACACTTCTACATGAAAAGTGGAGTACTCTTCTTAACCGTGATGATCTAATTGAAATSATTCCTGGGCTTCCAAAATTGGACACCAGAAACCGAATCTCCTCACCTCAAAATCGGTATTTCGTACCCGCCAAATTTTGTTCCCCGTGGTCGAGTGGCTTAAGAATCGCTATTTTGGCTGTTAACAATTCCAGCAGACGCGACAATCTTCCCAGAAAGGCAACACTTATGCCAAGGAATACAGAATCAAAGGGGTCGATAAAGTCCTCAGAAANCGCGAATATTGTATATTACTTATGAAACGTTGAGGTAAACTAGCTCAGGTTTTAAAGAAACTTTTGAAAAAAAAATCAATCTGACCGAGAAAATCAGAGTTAAAGTTTATGCAAATGAACAAGAAATCTGTATGTAATATACAACTCTCTTCATGGGCTATGATTTCTATTGTGTTTTGCCTTATGAATATTAATGAGTTTTATAATTGCTTATAATTCGTTTCAATTGAAATTAAGAGGATTACAAAGATTACACTAAGGTTTATATTTCATTTTTGTTGTTCCCGAACACTAAAGTTGTTCCGTTATTTTTACTTAGACAATGAACGAGTCTGCAAGTGGCACATCTCAGAATCGGGCAATTGTCAGTGGTGTCACTGGTAAGCCATCTGTAGGTTTTAAATTATTTTATATAAGTAATTACTTTTTCGCCTTTGTATGTTTTGTTTTGAAAGTCTTTCATCATCACAACACCCATCCCTGCACACTCATTGCCACTTTAATCTGCAATTTGACATTTAAAACAGAAATTCAAGATCAACCAAGGTGCATCCTCTTTTTGTGCGACAAGTGGCATTCTTGGGGGGAAAGCATACCAGTGTTTAATCGTGAGCTGTGCTTTGCATTAGCACGTGCTGGCCATCATGTGGCTTGTCTAGTTTTATCATCTTCAGACATCGAAAGAGAAGAAGCTCGGAAAGAATGCGTAGAGTTGATAACGTGTTGCGARAAGTCAGGAATAAACAATGGAGACACACAGCTTTTCCAATTTCACGATCTTGGATCACTTCCTTTCACTCCAGATGTTGTAGTTGGACATGGCAAGATCACCGGTCCTGCAGCTGTCTTCTATTCCGAGAAAATATTTTGCCCAAGACTACATGTTATTCATGATCTTCCAGATGAGTGCCTAAAGTATGAYGAAATTATTGATAAACAGTGCAAAGAGGAGGACTTGGCCAGGACTGCAGATTTTGTCGCTGCAATAGGAACACTTCTACATGAAAAGTGGAGTACTCTTCTTAACCGTGATGATCTAATTGAAATSATTCCTGGGCTTCCAAAATTGGACACCAGAAACCGAATCTCCTCACCTCAAAATCGGTATTTCGTACCCGCCAAATTTTGTTCCCCGTGGTCGAGTGGCTTAAGAATCGCTATTTTGGCTGTTAACAATTCCAGCAGACGCGACAATCTTCCYAGAAAGGCAACMCTTATGCCAAGGAATACAGAATCAAAGGGGTCGATAAAGTCCTCAGAAAGGCTGCTAAAAGAACATGACAAAAGTTGTGTAGAGCTTAATCGTAAAGAYCTTGCTGAGAGGAAACAAGCCCTGGTAGATCTTCAAGGAGCCACGTTGTTTTTATCGCCAGCCAGARCGGAAGCATTTGGTGTAAGTGCTTTAGATGCAATAGCTATAGGAATACCAATCGTTATCAGTTCACGGAGTGGTCTCGCGTATACCATCCACAAATATCTCAATGAAGAATTCCACGCCTGTATAAAAGAGGTTTCTTCAGAATGTTCAGGGAAAATTGACGACGAAARTGAAGATACAGATGCAGACGTGTGGGCAAATGAAATTGATAAAGCCTCCATGAAACGTGACAAAGCTTTCACAGGTGCTGAAGCTTTGAGGTCAGAATGGAACGAGCGGTTTACTTGGGAGAAAGCAGCAAAACATCTTATGGACGTCATCACCAGATCTGGTAAACTATCTTCAACTTCATCATCAAGCATTTCGACTGCCAKTGTCAATAAACGCATCTCAGATCCCACGCTAGCTCTTGTAGATCGCTTGAATTTATTTAACAAGCGACAAAAGTTCGTCTTATTCCTATCACCAGCTAAGCAGCTCCCTCCCGAAGTGCCTTMTCTTGGATTGGTTCAGTGGGCGGCGGTGTTTGATTTTGCTCGAGAAGAAAGTGAACAAAACAGCTATTTGAAAWGCTGTGAACACTTTCTGGMAAAYATTGGTAGACCAGYATGCAGATTGTACCCACCATCTGAGGAAGAAGCTAGGAAGCAAAGACAGATCGTAAATTTACCCAATGGAACGCCATGGATTYTACTTCAAGGCAGTTTGCCAGACATGCCCAGAGACGTCGAAGAGAACCTTGACTGGATTCAAGAAATTTTGAATCAAATGAAAAAGAGACATCCCTGTCCTCTGACACTTCTGATTGTATGGGAATCTATTAAAGAGTTCAGAAGTCTCTGCAGAAAGCTCTTCAAAGTTCTTACCGTTATCCAGGCATTACCTTCGTGGAAAAACGCAATCGATGTTGTAATTGTTTCTACTACAARTGATATCGATAGCAGACTCGAGGATATTGCAGACGAATTTCACATCAAGGTGAATGCAGTTAATCTTTCAGAATTTTGCAGATCTATCCAGAGAACGGCCATTGGTAACCCATGGTATGACCTAAATACTGATTTTTCGCTTCCGAAATTGGATCCYAGTTCTGAAAAAGTTCTTCCAGCAGCTTTACCAGATTCCATAAGATGGGTTGACTCGGTTTTCGAACTTCTCTACACAACTGTAGGAAGCACGCCAGAATTTGGTAAAGAAGATGCCTTTTACTTTTTCAGAGGAGGTCAAATCTCSTGGTACGGAATAGAGATGGATTACGTTGTAAAGAGAGAATCATGGGTGCCCATAAAGAAAGCCATTGAAAGCGAATTGGAATACTCAGGAGCGGCATTTTTAACGCTTTTCCATCAACGTGGAACTGGGGGAACGACTTCAGCCAGAAAACTTCTGTACGATTTCCATCTAAGATATCCTTGCRTTTGCCTGAAGAGCATCAATTATGACACAATTTCAGCGATTAAAGTCATATGGGAGTTTTGTGGACTTCCAGTTTTGATATTAGCCGATATTAAAGATGTTCCCGGTGCAGTCACGAACGATGTAGAAGCTCTTTATGGCAGTCTCTCGAATGATAAAGTTTCCTGCCTGATTCTTCACGTTGTTCATCGGCAGAATTATGCTACACAAAGTAGAAGTGAGCAGAGTCAAAAAGAGCCACTTGTTTTGGCAAAAACACTTAACCCTCGTGAACGAGAAGACTTTTATGAGGCCTACAGTCTTCACAGCGAAACAAAGAGGCCACRTCTCCATAGGCTTCGGAACTCGGTGAACGAGGAGCTGCTGCAAATCCCGTTCTATTACGGACTTGTCGCATTTGGAGAGGAATTCAAGGGGCTAGAGCCTTTTGTAAAGGATTCCTTGCAAGGATTGAATGAAAACCAGAGGCAGGCATTGTGTTTTGTCAGCATGGCTTACCACTATGCACAAGTTCAAATACCCCYTTCAGCACTTGCCGCTATATTCAATCTCAAACCACGCCAGCTCGACTCAATTGATGACATTCTGACTGCAGATGCCAAGGWGCTCCTTATCGAAGATGGATATGGATRCTGGAGGCCTCGCCATTACACCATTGGGAAAGAAATAATCTGCCAGATTTTGACATTCCCTTTTAAGATCAGCAAACTTAACTGGAAAAGTCACCTTGCCGACAAAGTTATTGAATTCATTGACTTTATGGACGAAGATTTGGTCACTGCTATACTTCTAAATCGTATTTCTGACGAAAATACATTTAAGCRGTTTTCCTCCTTGATAGAAGATATACCCGATGGACAGGATGTGATCAGGGTCTTYCATAAAGCCATTAAGATTCATCCAGGAAATCCCTTCTTCAAAGCACATCTTGGTCGCTACTACAGCGTAGTCATGGGCATTGATGGTTTTGACGATGCTCGTAAGTACACAGATGAAGGAATCCTTCTTGCCTCAGMCTATTCCCAAAATGTTCGTAGCCAGCTAACCCAAATGAAGGGAATAGTGTACAAGAGACAAGTCAGAAACAAAATCGAACGACAGGCGCCTCTGCTAGAGATTATACCATTCGCACAAGAAGGAGTATCGGCTTTTACACGTGCGGTGAGCATTTCTACAGAAAATCTAGAGGGAGCTTTTATACCACAAGTTAGAATGATGTGTGACATCTTCAAGTACGTCAACCGTTTCTTCAGAGGAGGGATCTATGYTTATATGCTCTCGRAGGATGCYAATCCCTTCATACGTGATGGCATTTCAGAAACTTCGGATGTTTTAGAGATGGTCACAGAAAGCAGGTACTATCCTGACTTAAGAAGAGAACTATTCCAACTAGGGGGGCACCAYCGAAGGTCAGAGAACAAAGAAGATTTGATTGAATATTTCAAAGAGTTGAAGAAAACAAACAAGACCAGCACCGCCTCCGTTAATCGTCAGATTGTTCTTATTGAATTAGAGATCTGCAAGGAAAAAAACAAACCAATTTCTAACATTGCTGATGAGATGATAAAACTCCTTGGAGAAGCTCTGAARTATGATGAAAAGATTGACCTCACAATGCGCCTKTGGGTGAAAGTGGCACCACACATYCCTGAAACACTGATGTCTGCWGAGAGCAAGATAAATACTTGGTGCAATAAAGGAAAGTCGGTCACATCCTACCTTTACCGCCACATCTTTACCTGCATTCGCATACTTGAAGGTGGCCGAGACCAACAATTTGAAGATGATATGTTGATAGCTCGGGAAGAGCTTCATAAGGCCGTCGCTGCAGCCAAACGTTATATTAGGCATCCTGATCGTCCCGTAGTGTTTCTAGGGACTAAAAAAGGCATGGGTCAGCTTGTKTCTCCAGAGCCAGAAACGGTGAAGTCGGTCAGGAAGCAGCGGATAATACCTGAAGGTTATGAAGAACAATTGCGACACCTTACAGGTAATATWAGATTATTTGTTCAATTGTCTCTTTTTTACAGAGTAGATGTAATGGTTCAAAATCRTCATCCAGGGTTTCCAAAACGAGAGAACATTTGACAATAATTTTATCAATAATTTTATCCCTGCTACGGAACTATAATAAACACAAAGGGAAAAAAATGAAATTTTGCAGAAACTGCGTATAATGAAAAGGAATTCCGTCTGTCTTTGTCCTGTTTCTGAATATCACATATGTCATATTARCTGTATTTAATTTGTAGGTACCATCACAGAGCTCACGAAAAAGGTTGGAGAAATCAAAGCTCAAGGATTGACCATCTCATTTCGAGCCGATTTATGCCAGCCACCACTCGTYGGAGCATCAAAATTGGGAAAGAAGGTTAAATTCTATCTTGCCTTCAATTACTTTGGCGCAGATGCTTACAACGTCAGAATCACGGCTGCCTGAAGATAGTAGAAAGTGTGGTTTGAATAGGTGTCTAACGAATACAAATGTAGGAGTCACAAATATCAGTTTTCGTTCTTATCGCGAACACAAAAGTCAACCTTTTGTCAAGGAAATCCATTAAGCGGACTTTTTACTGAAAGGTTGTTTAGATTGAATTATCAGTTTAGTTAGGTAGTTGTTTAGGTTAAGCCTTTTCTCAAGAGATATTATTTTCTATATTATGTTTTGTAATTGCAAAAACGGCATAGAGAAGTAGAACATTTTATATTAGTAAAAAGGAACATCTAAAAAAATGTTAAAGGCCCACGTCCATCCAAAAACCTTTGCGTTCGCCTCTGTTTAACAAGTGATCTCTTGATGAAAGGCGCTTTCAATTAGTTCAAAATCAAAGATGGCGAATCTTCGCGCAAAGGCTTTTGGATGCACATGGATCTTTTAATGTATTCCTTCATCTTTGCAATTAGGTGTACATGTTAACAAATATTAAGATACTAAGAAATAGTATTTATTAATTTTACATAAACGTTTTGCGCATTAGGTATTTTTCATGCAGTAAGCATATCAAATCAGCAAAATTGTACAATGTAGCAGGGATGAAGCCAGGGCAATGTTTGGAACGTACACAAAAACAAAATTATGAATGTGATCGTTTTAACAGTTTTCAATCGTGTATCAAAATTACCACCTCGAGGCGCAGAAAGGTTTTTTCTTTGTCGTTGTTGTTTCTAGAAGACCTTTAATTACACCAGTGCTTGTGAATWTTTCCTCCAGGTACTGCATCCTTCCCATCAAATGTTCCTTCTGTTTCTCTAAGTGCATTATGCCTTTGGYGGGGAGGCGATCGTGCACAGTCTGTGTTCCCCTTGGCTACGGACCTGCAAAGCAATCGCATGTTTTACAATCTATGCTACTTTGGTTCTTGGCAATCTCAGTCTTTGTGACACAATTGCAAATAATGTCGTAAGATCGACGTATGTTGAAAACTGCATKTTGAGCCCTGGCAAGAACGGATTGTTTTATCTCCAATGCAAAAATTCACCCCGAGGCACCTTACATCATCAAATATGGKGATCATCAAACAAATTCTTCGGTGGTAAAACGTATTCAAATTCCATCCAACATKTTTGAAGGTCCATCCAACACCACTAAACAAATCTGAAATTTTCAATTTGTTTATGACTTTTTTACAATTGGGGATCGTATTAAATAAATAGTGTAAATTGTCACTTACGAAAACTTTGGTTGATATAATTAATGTATATTACTG